GAATCTTGCATTCCTTTCTAAAGGATTCATTCTTGCGGTAAATTGAGCCTGATAGGGCTTATGTAGCTAGTGGTATAGCTATAGTCTGCTCCTTGATGTAGAGCAGGTATAAGTATTGACAGCCTGATATTTCTTGAGGCTGGTTGTAATTTACCTCATTTAGAGGTTAGCTACCTACCTAATAATAAGCAACTAAGATTTGAGTGGTACCTTGGTCTCACTACAGGTGTTCCTCAGCTTAGCTCATCTAAATCAGCCTCGGATGGGTAGCAGACTTACAGTAACACTCAAAGACATACATAGAAATATGCAATAAAATAATTACACAATAAATGGTTAATCCCACCCTTGATAGGGTCAGCACAAAATGAATAATATATGTGTCACTAACTAGCTCAAGCCTAGTCGTGAGAATTTCTACTTGAGAAACTACAACTATATTTAGTCTGTGCTTGTGCCAAATTCAACACAATCACAGCCTAAATTGCTACCTAATGAAGGTTGGCAAAGATTATATTATGGTGCAGTAATGTGCAAATAATTGTGCTGTATTTTTGGGTTTTTGTATTTTATATAATTATGTGTAATTATGTGTATAAGAAATTAAATGAACACAAAGGATTAATTGTGTTTGGCAAGTATTCTACTGCCGTAAATATTATCTAACTCCTGAATGTACTCCTAATGGTGGAATAAAATATTATCAGGGTTAGTAATGATTAACTAGTATGAGATCAGTAATTTATATTAGTATACTGGATCCCTAAATGTTAATGATCCACTGACTTGAGTGAATCAGTAATTATAACATGGATTCAGGCTATAATGGACAGTCTGCTGACAGCCATACATTGAAACATTGGTATAGCCTAAATGGTTAACACTTAATTGGTGTTAGTGATTAATATAAGGTTATGAGCTGTTGCTCTTGGTGACCTAAAGATTCTACTTCAGTATGAATTGTAGGTCTAAATGTTGTGGGTAATTGGTTATGACCCACTAAAGCTACCTTATACATGAGGTGAAAGTAGCAATATGTTAGTGTGATCTAGACTAAGTAATGTGTTACACTGTTAGTTGACAAAATTAATTAAATAGTTAGTCTAGCTTATGTCACACAAGGATTAGTTATTAATGATTAATATTTTAATTATAAATTTAATGCCTATCCGGTTCGATAAGGACCATAATGTGGGACATTTGGGGCTTGAATCTGATTATTTAAATATTAATGTAGTAAATTAAATTACGAAGGACCACCCGCTTTTATAGTAAAGAGGGAAACTGAGAATTTCTGATCATTAGATAATTCCTAGATGAACCAGTAACTATGGATAAAATACTAGAGAATATGATCATAGAAACAATTAATGGGCTGTATAATTAAATGAATCAAACCCTCAAACACCTACATTGGGGGGTTATTACTGGAAGTAAGTACGTCCAGGAACTAGTGTGGATCGTTCACTAATCCAAATAATAATAATCTAATCCTATGAATTATAGTGAAACTAATGTCATTACCATGAATGGGAACATAGATTATAAGTATAGTAATGAGAGTCACAATAAACACATGTTAATCCTAAGAAATTCTGCATGTAAGTAATTGCAATAAGTTCATGAATGAATATAAAGAATCTTAGCTTAAAGACGATTCCTTTATGTAAGCCACGTCGTTTCCTCTAATTCTCTGGACTCGGCTGGCTGACGAATGGGATGGATTAACATGGGAGAAGGCGGCAGGGAGAATTCTTCTCACGTGCTACAAGACAAATATTTACAGTAGCAACTAATTAACTACTGAATCTCTATATTCAAGAATTTAAGAATTACAGGTGATAAAATTAATAACCTGTTGTTAGATGTTATCATGCGTCGTAACGGTCAATCACCCAGCTACTACAAAACACTTTACAAGATGCATCAAATAAAGGGAATATACTTAGCTAAAAGGGCACTGTATAAGTTTTAAGAGTGCCGAAATTCGCGTCCCCAGGCTCTGGCTAAGCCTAACCTGGATAGTGGCGCGCTTCACTGGCCGGTCACGTGTAGTCAAGAACCAGGTTAGAGAGGTTCCTTATATGACACCAGCTGAAGATATTATCTGCAAGGTTATTCACGCCTCACAGTGGCGACTTTCATCTGAGGATGGATAACGTCTACCCTAATGGCTGGGTAATGGCGTCTCCTTGTGAGTACGGTACGAGCAGGTCTGCCTCAGAGCGGCTCTCCACGTGTACTGGCAAGCTTCCTCAACCCACGCCGCGTCCCGCGTTCATCAAACAAATTATTGTCACAAACATTAATATTTCTCGCATTTACGCTTGAAATGTTGAAGACTGGATGGGTTTATTATTTAGAGGAGGGAAATATTATTATTTGCCAATTTAAGAATAGTAAATATATAAGGGAGAGGAATTAATGTCTCCCCATGGCATTCACTGGTGACGTTAACTTTTATTACTAGATAATCGCTATGACTCCAACGCTCTATTTGGCTTTTAGTCGGAGGTTAAATCATCAGTAATTAGTTACCATACAGAATGCCTTAGTTATAGAGAATCGAATTTAATTCTCAAATACATTGGATATAATGTGTTTATTGTAATGAAATCTGACGCAATACTGGCGTCGGATGATGTGAGAATTCTAGCCTACTGCGCAGATGAAATTATTAGTACATGAGAATTCTACGTGGTGTTAATTTTACTTGCTACAATAATTAGTAGAGTTAGTAATAAGTAATGAGAATACAACAGTGTTGTATTCGGTGTTGGAAATATCCAACATTAAGCTTGTCATTTAAGTTTTTCATGCCCGAAACGCTTTGCGTAATAGTGGCTTTAGGCATTGTATGTACTAGCTCTACCTATAAGTCAACCAATCTTTGTAAAAATTTCTTGTATGTATGTACCTTACCTAAATAAACATTTATTTATTTATTTATTTATTTAAGCCATATTTATTTATTTATTTATTTTTTATTTATTTATATATATACAAGAAGGTACATTGGGTTTGTGCGAATACATTGGATAGTACAGTATTTACATTCTTGTAAAGCCACTAGTACGTGCAGCATTTCGGGCAGGTCCCGAATGTATTATCTGTATCCCGATAATGTATGTATCCCGAATATTGATGCTCTGTCCACAGAGCATTCTCTCTCTCAAATTATATACACTGATGGTTCCCTACACCGCACCACGGGTGCAGCTGGAAGTGCAGTTGTCCTGACAATGGGCGATGGCCTATACTTTGAGTGGGGATTCCGTATAAACAACTGGGCCTCCTTCAGACTGAACTATTTGCCTTGATCCTTGCACTGAAATGTGTACAAGTCTCAAAACTTGATACATTAATTGTAAGTGACTCCTTATCATCCTTAAATGCTCTCAACTCTTTAAGACATAACTGTAACATGCTCGTGTCCGAAGCTAGACACAAATACAACAAAATTATTAAGGATGGTAACAGAGTCCATTTCATGTGGTCTCCATCTCATGTTGGCCTCCGAATGCATAATAGAGCTGATAAGTTAGCCAAAGAATCTGCCTTTAAAGGAGCCGTTGAGTGTAACCTTGGATTGTCAATGAGCAATCTGAGAGCAGCAGTACACCGAGAACTTCAACAAGATCTTGTAGATCTGAGGCAAAGTGAAATTGACACCAGTAATTCCATCTATCATCATACTATCATGCAAGAGGAGCCACACATCTATGGATCATCCAATAAAATCAGCAGACTTCTAGATGTTACTACTGCTCGGCTTAGACTCGGTTACAAGTATCTCTGGGAATTCTCATTATCTGCTGATGTAGACCTGACCAAATGTAAACTGTGTCAACAAAATTATTCGCACACCCTCCGTCACTATGTGATGGAGTGCGAAAAGATACGTGAATTTAGAGACAATTCTATAACCAATGTTCCAGCGATGTGTCAATATTTCATTCAAAATGATCTGCTACCAGAAATTTTAGCCAAATATCCCCAGTTTGCTAACTGTAGGTAGTAACTAAGTGATTGTAACCTATCCACCGCTGCCCACTGGATGGGGGGCGGTGTGCAGGACAAACATATAAATTTTGACACTAGCTCTCCACATATGTCAGTTGCTTAATTTAGAACCTGTACTTGAGGTCGATCTCGAACCCATTGTTGATGTGATGACTTATATTGAATTTCGTAACTAGCTCATCAAGATTGTAACTTGCTTAGCTAAATGAATTGTGGGGTTCAGTCCCTGAGCCCATTATGTGCCTCTGTAACCCTTTCCACTACCGCCCACAAGATGGGTATGGGGTGCATAATAAATGAACTAAACTAACTAAATAATTAAAGGCTCGTTTATGAGCATAATTTTGGTGACTGACATAGTCTAAAGATGCTTAATGTTCCTTAACTCTTCTCTACATAGGCAAAACTAGACCTAAATAAATTAGTAATTAATGTAATATAATTTTACTAGACCCAAGTTAATTTTTGTAACAAAAACAAACATAAATCAAAACCTTCTTGTTTAGTCATTGTCGTTTTCCTTCCCATGCTTTGTATTACTTATTTGTTATTTTTTATAAATTTCCCAAGTATCATAAATTGTGATCTTTTTTTTTTTTTTTTTTTTTTTTTTTTTTGAGATATATACAAGAGTTGTTACATTCTTGTACAGCCACTAGTACGCGTAGGGTTTCGGGCAAGTCCTTAATCCTATGGTCCCTGGAATACGATCCCCTGCCGCGAAGAATCGTTTTTTCATCCAAGTACACATTTTACTGTTGCGTTAAACAGAGGCTACAGTTAAGGAATTGCGCCCAGTAAATCCTCCCCGGCCAGGATACGAACCCATGACATAGCGCTCGCGGAACGCCAGGCGAGTGTCTTACCACTACACCATGGAGACTGCACTTTTATTTCTTTAACAACAAAAAATTTTTGTACGGAGGGTGTTATATGTGGTGTTGCAGAGGGCGAGTAGTGGAGCCGGCGGCGGCCAGCAAGAGTGCTCAGTACACGTCCAGCTGCCAGCGGGGGAGCATCACGCGCCTCTTACTCTGACAACATGATTCCAGTAAGTCAGTCTTGTGTGTATATGTTCAGTGTGTCACACACCAAAAGAAAAATATCAAGGTAAAAAAATTAGCATTTAAGTAGAAAATAAGTAACAAAACTAATTTACAACAGAGATTTTTAACGAATGTTAATAATTATCTAAAAAGATTTTTTATCTAAAACTAATTATCTATAGTATACACTATACTATGGAATGGTTAGCATACTACTGTGTGATAATTGCTTTAACGGCAGGTATCACTTTACTCGCATAATGAAGCGAAAATCCAAATTTCAGTAGCGCACAGGAATCGAACTTGGGATTCTCGATTCTCAGAATTTTTATGTATGTTATGGAAAGTATATTAAGGTACATTATTAAATGCTTTTATGAGCTGCGTAGAACTTCCAAGGTTGTTTATAACAATACTAACCTCGCGCTGTCAAATTTGAAAGCTGGCAAACCTGTTTAAAATAAATGTAAACAAAGCCGCCAAGATTAAGGAAAGATGTACAGGTTTCGTAAATCCTTGTTAAGTCCTGACCGTGGTCATCACTTAGGCATGAACTGAGGAAGTGGAAAATATCTCTAAATATAACATTTTTCATTACACTAATTTAAGGACATTAGGTTTTACTCATTACCCTCCATAATCACTAAGATTGGACATCTCGTTGTTACATTATATTACTTAATAAATATAATAAATCGTGTTACTATATACTCAAATACTCATTAGTTATAAGAAAGATGGAAAGAGGATGTAGAGGGAAGGAGATTAGGAGAGAGTTCCAAAAAAGATAAAATTTCATTTTCGTCTAAATAGAGAAAAGTTCAGGTGTAGTTCCATCTCTCATCACAAAGGCTCAGTATTGTTTAACTCTTACTTGTACACCAACAGGCAGGGCCAAGGTGTTGGAAAATGTTGCTGTTGTTACCAGTTCTGATGACGATGGTGCCTCGTGCTGCAGCGGAACCCCGCACGTGAGTACACATACTCAACACTATGCCCTGGGTGTGAGTACACATACTCAACATTATGCCCTGGGTGTGAGTACACATACTCAACATTATGCCCTGGGTGTGAGTACACATACTCAACATTATGTCCTGGGTGTGAGTACACATACTCAACACTATGCCCTGGGTGTGAGTACACATACTCAACACTATGCCCTGGGTGTGAGTACACATACTCAACACTATGCCCTGGGCGTGAGTACACATACTCAACACTATGCCCTGGGCGTGAGTACACATACTCAACATTATGTCCTGGGTGTGAGTACACATACTCAACACTATGCTCTGGGTGTTGTACACATACTCAACACTATGCCCTGGGTGTGAGTACACATACTCAACACTATGCCCTGGGTGTGAGTACACATACTCAACACTATGCCCTGGGTGTGAGTACACATACTCAACATTATGTCCTGGGCGTGAGTACACATACTCAACATTATGCCCTGGGCGTGAGTACACATACTCAACATTATGCCCTGGGCGTGAGTACACATACTCAACATTATGCCCTGGGCGTGAGTACACATACTCAACATTATGCCCTGGGCGTGAGTACACATACTCAACATTATGCCCTGGGCGTGAGTACACATACTCAACATTATGTCCTGGGTGTGAGTACACATACTCAACATTATGCCCTGGGCGTGAGTACACATACTCAACATTATGCCCTGGGCGTGAGTACACATACTCAACATTATGTCCTGGGTGTGAGTACTCACATTATGTACTCACATACTCAATTATGCCCTGGGTGTGAGTACACATACTCAACATTATGCCCTGGGTGTGAGTACACATACTCAACATTATGTCCTGGGTGTGAGTACACATACTCAACATTATGCCCTGGGTGTGAGTACACATACTCAACATTATGCCCTGGGTGTGAGTACACATACTCAACATTATGTCCTGGGTGTGAGTACACATACTCAACATTATGTCCTGGGTGTGAGTACACATACTCAACATTATGCCCTGGGTGTGAGTACACATACTCAACATTATGTCCTGGGTGTGAGTACACATACTCAACATTATGCCCTGGGTGTGAGTACACATACTCAACACTATGTCCTGGGTGTGAGTACACATACTCAACATTATGTCCTGGGCGTGAGTACACATACTCAACACTATACCCTGGGTGTGAGTACACATACTCAACACTATGCCCCCGCACGTGAGTACACATACTCAACACCACGCACTGCGCGTTAGTACACAAACACAACACTATGCACTGCGCATAATTCAGACTCAACACAACGCACTGCGCGTAAATTACATAAAGGTGTTCCAGTACTCTAAATGTTCCAGTACTACGTGTTCCAGTACTCTAAATGGCTACTAAAGTTTAACTCGGGAAAGTGTAAAGTAAAGAAATTAGGTGACGGGAGCAGGAGGCCAGATACAAGGTATCATTTGGGAGATGAAATCCTGCAAGAGTCAGAGAGAGAGAAAGACCTGGGGGTTGACATCACGCCAGACCTGTCCCCTGAAGTTCATATCAGGAGGATAACATCAGCGGCATATGCAAGGTTGGCTAACATAAGAACGGCCTTTAGAAACTTGTGTAAGGAATCTTTCAGAACATTATATACCACATATGTCAGACCAATCCTGGAGTATGCGGCTCCAGCATGGAGTCCATATCTAGTCGAGCATAAGACTAAATTGGAAAAGGTTCAAAGGTTTGCCACCAGACTAGTACCCGAGCTGAGAGGTATGAGCTACGAGGAGAGACTACGAGAATTAAACCTCACGTCACTGGGAGACAGAAGAGTTAGAGGGGACATGATCACCACATACAAAATTCTCAGAGGAATTGATAGGGTAGATAAAGACAGACTTTTTATTACAAGGGGCCCACGCACTAGGGGACACAGGTGGAAATTGAGTGCCCAAATAAGCCATAGAGACGTTAGAAAGAATTTTTTCAGTGTCAGAGTAGTAGACATATGGAATGCATTAGGAAGTGATGTGGTGGAGGCTGACTCCATACACAGCTTCAAGTGTAGATATGATAGAGCCCAATAGGCTCAGGAACCTGTACACCTGTTGACTGACGGTTGAGAGGTGGGACCAAAGAGCCAGAGCTCAACCCCCGCAAGCACAATTAGGTAAGTACAAAGTACCATGGGGGGGGGGGAAATCCTGCAAGAGTCTAATAGCGAGAAAGATCTGGGGGTTGATATCACACCGAACTTGTCCCCAGAGGCCCACATCAAAAGGATATTTCAGCGACATATGCTAGATTGGCCGACATAATAACTGCCTTTAGAAACTTGCGTAAGGAATCATTCAGAACCTTGTACACCACTTATGTCAGACCAATCCTGGAGTATGCAGCTCCAGCCTGGAATCCATACCCAGTTATAGTTAAAGTTTTTTTTAGTTTAGTTCATTTATTATGCACCCCATACCCATCTTGTGGGTGGTAGTGGAAAGGGTTACAGAGGCACATAATGGGCTCAGGGACTGAACCCCACAATTCATTTAGCTAAGCAAGTTACAATCTTGATGAGTTAGTTACAAAATTCAGTATAAGTCGTCACATCAACAATGGGTTCGAGATCGACCACAAGTTTAGTTTCTAAATTAAGCAACTGACATATGTGGAGAGCTAGTGTCACAATTGATATGTTTGTCCTGCACACCCCCCCCCCCATCCAGTGGGCAGCGATGGATAGGTTACAATCACTTAGTTACTACCTACAGTTAGCAAACTGGGGATATTTGACTAAAATTTCTGGTAGCAGAACATTTTGAATGAAATATTTACACATCTATGGAACATTGGTTATAAAATTGTCTCTGAATTCACGTATCTTTTCTCACTCCATCACATAGTGACGGAGGGTGTACAAGACAAAGTTAGAGAAGATTCAGAGGTATGCCAACAGACTAGCCCCAGAACTGAGAGGAATGAGCTACGAGGAAAGGCTGCGGGAGCTGAACCTCACGTCCCTGGAAGACAGAAGAGTATGGGAGACATGATCACCACCTACTCTTGATGGTGGTGATTGACTCTCCACCCTGTCAATTTCTTAGCGAAATTGACAGGGTGGAGAAAGACAAACTATTTAGAATTGGTGGAACACGAACAACGGGACATAGGTGAAAATTTGTTCATTTTGATGCATCACGTTAGAATTTGTTCATTTGATGCACCACATTAGTGTCATCTCTGTGTGTAATGATGTAAGGGCGAAGAGGGAGAACGGCCTATTGACATAGCTCGGGTGCAGGGGGGAGTTGTGTAAAATACTGGTTTGTGCCTCGGAGAGGCTACGGGATCCAGTAAGTTCAGTAGAACTTCGGTTTCAACTCTTAACCCTGTCGTAGCTCAGTCGATTAAGGCAGTGTCTGGGATGCTCCCGGACGCAGGTTCGAATCCTCGTCACGGCCCTTGTGGATTTGTTCATTTGATGCATCACGTTAGTGTGATCTCTATGTGTAATAGGTGAAAACTTAGTACCCAAATTAGCCACAGAGACAAAGATTTTTTTCAGTGTCAGAGTAGTTAACAAATGGAATGCATTAGGCAGTGATGTGGTGGAGACTGACTATTCAGTTTCAAATGTAGATATGATAAGAGCCCAATAGGCTAAAGAATCTGTACACCAGTTGAGAGGCGGGACCATAGAGCCGCAGCTCAACCCCCGCAAGCACAACTAGGCGAGTACACCGCACGTGATATAAACCACAACATGGTAGATCAACAGACCACTCACGCACCAGCAGCTTTCTGCCTGTCTTCATCTTCTAATAGCCAGAGTGATAAACAGTGTTTACACATTGCAGGTGGAAATGTTCAATAACAAACTGTCCCTTGGGCATGCGTATGACAACCATCGTAACAATGTAATGATAAACACTGACTCGAAAACAGCTATTCCAGCCCTAAGGAACCATAATGGTACAGACAGTGTAAACTTAATAACTATACAGTCCTCCTCCTCCTCCAGAATCTTTATATACAAGGAACGAAAGTTGTAATTGTACCTGGGTCACAAATCATGTAATGAGCTCTGAAATCGAAATTACGAATAAATTAGTTTGAGAGGGAACACGTCCAGATAATGTAGATGCCAATATACCAGCCAGCACTAGATATCTAAACTAGTTTGGAAACAACGATGCCTGCTAGAACAACACACAACCCTCTGAAACACTACCCCGGCCATCAACTGCCAGAGAGGTTACCGGGTACAAGGCACAAGCACCTTCAGTATAAACACCACCAAGGATGTTCTACGTCACACTAGACTGTGATTAGATCATCTATACGCTTGGGAGATTAGGCGCAACACTGCAGAAAGAGCTCCAAATATTGTAAACGACCAAATGAACATTCCCTCAAACACTATTTACTCAACTGTAATAAGACGAAGCAGTTGAGAAATTACTTTCAAACTGGCACTGTAACAATGATAAACACAGGCCAATTCCTGTTCGTAAGGATTGGCTACCTCTTAACACATTAATTCCTATTAAATAAATTGGCAGTTGAATAGTTAAAGTAAAACTAACAATACTGCTGAACTTTTCAAGTACAGGATAACAAAAATAATATCCACGTGAGTATACACAAGGCTAGTTAGTATTTTGTTGCAGTTTAGTTAATTTATTACACAACCTATACCCAATTACCTATGGTGTCAGTAGTAGTGGAAGAGAGTAACAGAGGTTGATATAATGGGCTCAGGAACTATACCTCAAAATTTTCTTTCAGCTCTGCTCTGTATTTTGGGTATTGTTCATACTTATATCTATTTGATTAATAAAATACTCTAAATGAAATATATATATATATATATATATATATATATATATATATATATATATATATATATATATATATATATATATATATATATATATATATATGCAACAATGATCACAAAAACACTGATCCAAGTATGCAGAATAACCACATATGAAAA